GGCAGCAGAGAGAACGTAAAGTAACTCGTTGCCTGGCAGCTTGCAGGAAACATGTCTAAATATTTATTTCTGTAGATCTTTAAAGGAATGAGCTAGCAAGCAGCCCTTCCTGTATGTTTTCCTTTACATTTTAATGTCTCTATTATGTGAGGAATGCTTAATTATTTTTGAGTATTCAAACAAGGAATCACTACTAGAGTACTCCATTTTTGTTTTTCTTAGACACTTAGTGGTTGAGAATATCAACAACTTAGCCAACTGTCAGTAATCAATTATTCCTATATGTAGGCTTATTTATTTGTTCATACAAAAGTTTCTTTGGTTAATAACATATTAATTATGAGAAATCGGCATCTGTCTTTTGAGACCTTAAAAAAGAATTGCTATAATTATTCCTTTATATTTCTACAATATTATGTAATTATTTTAAAGGAACTAGTTAAAATAACTATGGTTCTTCTAAAGTGGACCATTTGAGTTATTCTGAATTTTAAATCTGATACACCAAGTTGTATTTTTCTGAAGGTTTTAATATTTACTTTCATGCATCTTTCACATGTTTGTATGTATATGTCTATGTATCTGCATGTATCGTGTGTGTGTGTGTATATATATATGTAACTTCCCATGACAAGCAGTGTTAAAAATTTGGTTTTGTAGCATTTTTCCTTTAAGTCAATTTGATTGCAGTCCTTTAAGTGTCCTGAAGTTAGAAAGATGTAAAGATGACTTTTGTTGAGTGAAATGTAACTACCTAAGGGGCATAAACAGCTTTCTAAGAGCATATTGTTAAAATCCACAGCAATTTAGAAGCAGAAACTGATTTTAGGAAGAGTAAACATAGAGAGGGAATTGTGAACAGCAAGTCGTCGTTACTAGGTATATCAATGAGGAGGTAGAAAACAAGCTTAAACGCTGTTTTGTGACGCATATCTATGGAATTTGATGGGATTTGAGTGTGTGCTGAAAGTGAAGTTTTTACCTGTGTTGCTGATGGGTCTGAGCTTAAATGTGTGCTCAGTATTAAGTGTATACTCGGCTTGTAGTTGGGCTTTGTACATATTAGGAACTTTTACAAAATCCTTGTTCTTTACCAAACTGTATTATGTGTTTATGTAGCTACTACAGTGTTTTTACAAAAAGATAGCTGTGACTACAGCCACGTTTTTCAAAGGTGATGATGAGGTGTTAATAGTAAATGAAAGTATTTTACAGGATACTAAATTTTGCCAGCATGTAAATCTTCCTTTAATGTATTGCAGCCTAGTTAGCTGTCTCTGGTGCCCTCTAGTGTTCTTTTTACATGCACAAACCAGAGTTAAAGATATTTTAAAGGCAAGCTGCCATATTTGCTTGCCTTGTTTAATTTTTTTTCTTTATCAGTCTTCATCCTTTTTTTTTTCCTATGAATGTTAAACGTGAAACAGAAAAATCCATGACTCTTTGTCACCTCAGCTTATTTGCGTCTCTTATAATGTAGGCTCAGGTAATGATGTGCAATGTCATCTTTTCTGTTAAAACTTCTCGTGTGATAATGAGATCTTTTGTGTTATAAGCATACTGAATATGCTGTCCTGACAATCAAGTCTCTATGGTTGCATTTTGCATGCTGTAAGGGTTGGTTTTGTTAATCTTCTAACTTACTTTGTAAATAAGAAGATCCAAGGAGTTAGTCCCATGGGGTTGCAGGGTATTAGCAATGTTTCATTTGTACTTACTTTACACTGTGATGTTGTTCAGAGTTTCTGTAGTTTATTGTAATTTCCGTAGCACTTGAAGAGATATTAGCGCTCTTGCTTGTGCGCTCTTTCTGCTGCTACTGGTGTATCAGATACTCCTGTCAAATACAAGTTTGGTGCTTATTACTTGTATACAAGAGAACAGGAGACAGTTTAATTCCAGAGTTAGCTGGTTTTATTGCTTGATTCTTGGATCTGTTTTCATAAACAGTATGAGAACATGACACTTCAGCTTTAATACCTTCTATTTTTTTCCTGGTTAAAATTGAGATTGCATTTGTTTTTATTTAATCGGCGCATTTACCTTTTTTAACAACAGATCAGAAGTTCTACAGCAATATTTACGAACTGTAAAGCACGAATCAGAATTTGTACAGAGGAATCGCTGTCAGCTCTTGTGTAAATGTGCACTTAAATAGCTTGGATCCACTGGATATTTTTATAAAGTCACTTTTTCAGATCCAGTATACTCTGCCACTGTATTAGCTAAATCTTGTATTTGTGAGAAATACTGGAATGATAGTTCTGGAAGCAATCTGGCTTAACCCACAATATTAATTATTTTGGGGCATGCACAGACCCTCAAAAAGTTTTATATTGCTGTCTCTCAGTACATCATTCCTGATCTAGGGAAATCACTAGTGATCAAAATTTTTGTGTACTTCCCTTTTGGGGACAACTATTCTGTTAGTACTGAGGTGAGTTTTTGTGATCCTTAGTCTTCTAGGTACTAAAAGTTAACTGTTCTTTTTGCTGAGAGACAAGAGTAAAATTGACAAGGTTTTTGACACTCTTAGACTGGAAAATGAAATGCTGTTCTTTGGAACAAATCCAGGTACTTGATTTGACTGACAAAATGAAATATTTTTAATAAACCAGGACAGATACGAGGATGGTCACTTAGAACTCCATTTCATACTTGTTCGTATTGTTAGCCATTACTTTCTTCCACCGACATCTAAAATAAAACTTCTAAGCTTCAGGAAAATGTTTGTTTCGTTTCTGATTTAGTAAGGTTAGGACCATATGCACTGCACGTGGATATTAATAAAATAAATCAACTGTAACTGTGCCTTAAACTCAGAGATTTGCCTGCCTGTACGTTAGAGACACCACGTTTGTAACACTTAGTAGGAGAAATAGCAGGACATTGTCAGTCAGTTTTGCATTGTATTGCAGTACTGATAGGAGCCTTGGAAAAAATAACTTAATTGTTCTGGCACTTTTAAAATGCAATGCAGAAAGACACTTCGGGACTTTACTTTCTGAGTACCCTTGTTAGGGAAAAGTGTAACTCATAGAAAACACTGGGGTTAGTGAGAACATTGCAGGGGAAGTAAAGAAAATGAAAGTTGCCACCAGGAGGAGCAGTACCAAAATATTGTCATTTATTTACTGGCAGTCTTTTAGTGCTGTAGCTGCAAACTCTCTGTATCTTTGGGAGTATCATAATTTTTTTAAGGGCAGGGTACTAAATATAGTGTTTTAGAATGCAACTAAAACCCCCCAAAAGAATACCAATGAAGAACTTTAATATTTTTACAAATTATAATCCAGAAAATAATGATTCTTTTGACATTTGAAATTGTAATCACAGATTTAGGTCTCTATCCTGGTTTCAGTATGTTATGTTGTTAGCTGGACTCTCAGAATCAAAATTAGATCTATTTTTGTGTGTCTTAGTTGAGATGTAATAGAATAATTTTCAGTAGCTGGTGTATTGGTATTGCTACAAACTGCAATTCTCTGTATCTGCTTAGGCATTAGAGAAACAGACACTCGGGCAATGTAGCTGCCTCCTGCACGTATGGCTGTGCTAGAGGCAAATTGCTTGGTGTGTCAGGGAATAACAGGAAAGGAAAGGAATGAGTTCAGAGAGAAATAGAAAGTGCCAGGCCTTGTAGGGTTTGGGCCTTGGTTTTATCTTTTCTGGTCCCGTCCCATGTCCAGCCCCCCTCACCCCCTGCCCTTACAAGTCTCTTTTTAGTTAAAAAATTTAAATAAATAACACAATAGAATGATTTAAGAAAAAGGGGAAGTTGGTTAGTGGGTCAAATCTTGTTTTAACGTTACATGTAGCAACAAGCATGTTATTTGTAATGGGCAAATTAAAAAAAAAAATGTTATACAATAGTCTTTCTAGCTGTGTAGCTAGGATATTTTGCTAGTTGGGGATAGAGTTCATTTATAAATAACAACAGAGGAAATACATGTATATGTCATTATAAAATTGGTGAAAATAGCATTTGTATTTAAAATTTAAAAATTTGACATAAAATGACTTCACAGTGATGGGTATTATTTCTTATATAATAAACAAGGAGAATGTTTTACTTTTTTTTTTCTTTGGGTAATAGATTTTACTCATATAGAAAATGTGTATACTGTCCATCATATGTTGTGATGTTTTGTAGACAATCTAAATCAGGCCTTGGAAGCAGTGGGATTTACCATTATTGTTTTCAAATATTGGTATTACATGTGAATTTTATAGCTTATTAACTGGATTGTCATTAGTTCTCTGTTTCACATTCCTGGCCCATTATTGTCACTGATTGAAAATGCTGCTGTATCTCTTCATGACATTAGCTCCCCCACCCACTTCAGTGGTTATGTATGTGCTCTGCAGGTATTTTTCTACATAGTATCAACAAGTTATTTTGCTCACTCTGGTGACAGATGTTTTTAAAGAGAACTGAATACTTCAAGTAAGCCAAGTGGACTTTCTGTTTCTGAGGTGGACTTCCAAAACTATTTTGGAGGATTGTTTAATAGCTAAATTGAATGGAGTCTGTCATCTGGGTGCTGTGTGTAATGTAAGATGCTGGGCATGATACTTAGTTAAAGGTAATCAGCACAAATCCTTGATGATAGTCAAGTGCAAAACAACCAAATCACTTTCTATAAATTGTGGTATTGATTTTTGGAACCCAGGAAGGTGTAGTGGGTCATGAAAATCACAGAGATATTCAAAACTGGATGCTGATGCAAAACTGGTGTGTGGGCACCTTTCTGTTTTATCCATCCTGCCGTACATCTGTAAGAAAGAAGAAAGGTTTTATTCTTCCTTTATATGGAACATTTTTTATTTTGTAATTTATTTTTAAGTTTTAAACCTGGAAGTATAGCAGTACAACTAGGTCACATGAAAATTTAAAACTAATGAATGAACATCTAAATGATTGGTTCTTAACTTTGTGGGGGTTTTTTATTTGTTTGTTTTAAATGATCTGCTACATTCTTGCAAATGTTTCTCCATAGGATGAAGATGAGCTGGACTCTCACACCATGGTGAAGACCAGTTCAGAGAGTGCTGGTACCATGAGGGCCACAAGCACCATGAGTGAAGGTGCTCAGACAATGATTGAACACAACAGTACTATGTTAGAATCGGACTTGGGGACCATGGTAATAAATAGCGATGATGATGAAGAGGAAGATGGGACCATGAAAAGTATGTTGTTAATTTACTTTCCTTTTAATAATATAATACGTTTTCTCATACTGCATGAGAACATTGTATCATCAGTGGCTTTTCAGTGTCAAGTTCTGTGGTTAAAACAGGGGGAGAAGGGACATTTGTGTCTCTAAGTGCTCTCTGTATTTTGTGCAGAAAAAGGTGACTATAGTGGGAGATTCAAAGCAGAAGCCTGGTTTTGGTCCTTTGCTAAGTCTCTCTGGAGGACTCTAAAGTTAGTCTTCTGTGAATTTTCCCTTTTACTACTTGTCTTTTGCTTTTTGCCTCCTGTCCCACATACATTTGGACCAGTTCCTTGGAGCTAAAGCGATGCGATTATGTGAGAAGCTGCTGCTTCAATGTCAGTGGTCCTAGGAACTCGTCATGACTCTCCATGGGTTCAGCAATCAGTATGCATCTTGCTGCAAAATTGTTTTGTAACTCATGATCAATTAGCAGATTTTTATTTTAGAAGCAAGTTATTATTTGAACATTTGTTGGAATGTAATTCAATAATGCTTGGTTTAAGGCAATGATCAAAAGATTGTTGAAACCTAAGTAAAAAAGGTAAAATTTACTTCAGCGGTATGTGAGGGAGTATGTAACAAAGAGAAAAAATACCTGCAAATGTTAAAAAGTATAAAATGATAAGTTACACTGGAACATGTATAAATACATATTTGTTAAATAGTTAACTTACATACTTACATAATGATGTACTCATTATTTGGCTGAAGCCTCCTCAGAATGAGGCCCATTGAATTTAATAGAATTATTTGCGTGAATGGGCAGCATCAATAGACGAATCTAACTCCAGCTGTAGGTGCCTGATTTCATGAGGCACAATGTAATGTTTAACTCCAGGCAATTGTTTGGGGAGTCAGGTGGAGGTATATATAAAGCTAATGTCTTAAGAGTAGAAATCAGTGCCAAATAAGGAACTTTGTAGAATGCTTTAACATAAAGTTGCATTTGTGTTTGCACATACACACCTGATGTAATTTGTGCAAGATTAATTGGAAGTGCAAAGCAGGAATATGTTTTCTTTGTGCTTTAATGTACAGCAAATTGGAAGGAAGGAGGGGTTTTGTTGATTTTTTTTTGTTTGTTTTTTTTTTGTTTGGGGTGTTTGTGGTTCGTTTTGTTGTGGGTTTTTTTTTTTTTTTTACTGTTCTCAGCAATAAGATAGCAAGCATACCTGTTGATTAGTGATTAGTTTAAGTAGGATGATTCACCTCATGAAAACACTCACTATGTGCTTTAATTTGTTTTCATGCTGAAACAGAATATTTGCCTATTAAACTGTAAGGCTAATGGAGGGTTAGTACAAGCGAACTCAATCTCATCAATTTCAGCAAGTTAAGGAAAGGATAAGTGATGCAAAAAAAGAAAAAAGGGAAAGATATTACAGGCAAACATGGCGTAAAGGATAATAAAGTAATTCTTAGGGTGGAAGTATTATGAAATAGGGTTTAGTGCAGTTTCTATGCACCCTGTCAAATCACTTCAGGCTTAAGAAGCAAGTCTTATATAAGTAGTATACCAAATCGCCCAACACTATCCATGTAGATTTTATATGTGCTGAGAGGAAATACCCGTTAGTATGCCAAGCAGATCAAGAAAGTGTCATTAGGTTTGCACTGCAATCTCTTATCTGTGTCCTGTTTGTCTGCTACGTTGTTGGAGACTTTGGTTTTAAAATGTACTGTTATTTTCAATTTTTAATTGATTCTAGTAACAATCTGTAGTTAGAAAGGGAATTACCTTTCTACACCTTGGCATTTAGTCAGTGTAATTCTTAAACCCATTATTCCTTTTTTGTCAAAGAAGAATATGCAATCTTTGGGACAGCAGGTTTCCTTCCCCTTCCTTCCCCCATAGGTGACTGTCTTGAGAGTTGTAACTCCAGCAAAGGAAAGCCATCAAACTGGAGGTAGCCAAATTATTGGTTTCATTGTTCAGCTGGCAAGCAACAGGTTTAGTTCCAGCACTTACTTGCTGAACTTTCTTGTATTTTGCATTAGACACCCAAAGATTAAAAACTAGAAATAATTTAAGAATGGGACTTCCACATCTCTCAGCTGAAAATAAATATAAATCATGTTCGCTGTAGCTGGTCCTCCTTTGGGTCTGTGATTCATGTGCTATTGGCTCTGAAGCAGGAGCAATAGCAAGTGTCCTAAATAAATGTCACCAGGAAGGGACATACAAATCCTTGCTCTCCCTGAGAGGCAGACATAGATTTTGTGCTTCCTTGTGCTTGACAAACCCACAAGATTTTGGTGATTGGTTGCTTTTTCCAATGTACCTTTATAGGCAAGGTGGGCACTTTCTAGATGTTTGCATGATTTGATTATAATAAATCAGAACAGGTAGCTTAAAAGTGTTTTTTTGATTCTTCTGAATAATAGAACATTGCAAACAAGAAGCTTGGAGAAATAAACTTAGTGAACTAGGGAAGAGGGATTTCAGTTCCTTCCTAGAGACACCAAATATTTATGACAAGCTTTTTTTTTAATTGCTCTTGTGTTTAGTTTCATGTTTTGTTTCCTTCTGACTTTTGTTTCCCTGCTCAAGGACAAAATAAGAAACAATAATAAGCTTTTATTTATAAGTGCCCATGCTTAGAGGCCTCTGGGAGCCATGACAGAAAATAACTAAAACCATATTTTTTTTCACAAGTAGGGAATTGTGCCCAGATAAAATTGGGATTTGGAACAAAAAGAGGCCTGTCATCCTACCCCAACACACAATATACAGCCTAGCAATAAACAACATTTAAGCCTTCTTGCTTAGTATGTCTGTGCATGCTCTGAGCAGCGATTATGCAGTGTATACCTGGAAGTAGGGAAGAAAATGCAGAATACGGAGGGGTGAGAGGACAGAGCTTAACTTTAGGAGGTTAAACATGCAGTGGAAGAAAGAATGGGATTGATGGAAAGTACTACTACTTTTGTTCAGCTACCTGGATTGTACTTATTTTCATGTAGAACCTCTTTCATATCTCAGTTCAGAGACCAGTGTTCTGATGCAGCTTCTCTGCATTTCCTTTATGGCTTTTTGGCAAGGCTTAGCATTAGGGCTTTCTGGAGCACCAAGGGTACTTCTGATTGGTCTCCTGGCTCCTTTTCATTAACACTCTCCCCGCTTCTTACTTTTTGCCCTATGAGACATGAAATGTTTTAAGTTTAGTCAGTATAATCCTTAAACACATTCTTCCTTCTTATCAAACAGAAGAATATAATCTTTGGAACAGCAGGTTTTCTTCCCCTCCATCCTCCCCCATAGGTGACTGTCTTGACAGGAGTAACACCAGTGAAGGAAAGCCAGCAAACTGGAGGTAGCCTGATGGCAAGTCATAGTTTCATCATTCAGCTGGCAAGCAACAGGTTTGGTTCCAGCACTTTCACTGAACTTTCTTATGTTATTATATCATGGGATCCTTGATTACAGCGGGGCATGGACCACACTGTAGAACCTACATTTTAAAAGGAGAATTCATGAGTTGGTTTTATTTATTTATTATTTTTTAGTGATTTCTGTCCATCCAGTGTAAGAGATTGTGCCATACTATAAGTCAGTCTCTGTGATAGGAGGTGGGTGCTTGGGTAGCTCTGGAGTGATGCTTCATAACTCTTAGAAAGGCCTAAGTCCCACAGCTGTTTTTTCAACTGGCAAGCAAAAGCTATTGATATGTATTTTCTAACAACCTGTGACCCAGCTCCTATAGGAATTCAGCCAGGAAGCTTATAATGGGCTGGTTTTAGTGGTCCTGTAGCCTGGGCAGCCCCAGAGCCAGCACGATCCGCGGTGGAATGCTCTAGAACTTAGAGCAGCTGCTGAGACTTGGGCAGGGCCTGGAGCAATGGCGGCCAAAGCCCCCCACGCGTACTAAAGAAGCCCTTAGCAAGCATGAGTGACCAGGGCAGGCACGCAGGGAATGGAATGTGCATTCCTTCTTATTTTGAAATGTGTGTTTAGAATTATTTATTTTAGCTGTGATACATTTTTGAAGTAGTGTAATAGAGTTAGCATTGTGTTATGTCATTGCATCGTTCTTTTTATCCAGCATACTTTTTGAAAGACATTCTCATACGTAACTGTTTGGGGACATCCCCATTGGCTGTATTCTATCAGGGGTATTGCTGAGGTAGAACATATGTTTTCAGCATCCATGGTGGTCTCTGCATTCAACGACTTCCCAGCAATTTCTCAGACTGTTGTTTTTATTATGGCTTTCTTCCCAAGGCCATCTTGAGATTCTGGAGTGGGCAAGTATAGGGATGATAAAAGAGACTGATATTCTTAAATGTTGAACCTGTGACAAACATTTTAAAACATGATCATTTCTTGTTGAAGAGCAAAGAAAACTGAGAAGAACTGGAAAATCTAAATCCTCCTAGAATGGAACAGTCTGTTGCACAATAAATTTTCATTGCCAGTGTGGAGTGATACTGATTGTGCTGCAGATTTTTTTTTGTGGCAAATACATGGTTTGTGTAAAAAGTAACGTACTGGATATTTGAGTGAATTAATTGTCCTTAAAGGAATCTTTATGTATTGTACTTTTAGATCTCTTGGTTCTTGAAGACAGTTGACAAGACACCATTACTGTGTTGTTCACGAAAGTTAGAAAAAGTGCTTTCAGACCAAAGTGGTCTTCTAATAACCTTACGTTTTGGAAAAAACAAAATGCAACCTACATCAGTTTACTCTGGCATAAAGAGCCTGAGTGTTTTATAATGTCAATACAAAAGAGGTAGGAGCCTTCACAGGGCCTTTAAACTAGTAGGTGTCAACCTATCCCATTTTCCATAAAATGCTAACTAGATTTTTTTGTGTTAGGTTAGCTAGAGATCTGAAAAAGAGTATCTTTTTTCGTTTAATTATTTATAAAAATAAAATAAAACCTTAAAAATAAATCTTCAGATAAATCCTTCATATTTTTTTACGTTGGGAGAAAAAACAAACTTTGAAACACCTCTGGTCTCATTGTTTTGCAGGCATAATATTTATGGGTTTGTGTGTGAGTTTTTGTATTTGCAGTGAAGGAAAGCAGCTCTTGTTCTTTTAAATGGGTTAACTAATTGTATACTAAATTGGAATCAGAATTGAGTTCTAAATTCTTATTTAGCAAAACAAACAGAACAAGTCCTCAAAGTGTAAAATAGATGTGCTGTGTTCATTTTGGTGTAATTTTGGTGTAATTTCAGGCCTGTTGACCCACTTCCCTTAATATGGATTTGATAGCAAGGAATTTGGAAGGGTTGGTTGGTTTTACGTATGTCGACAGTCTTGTATTACATGTATAAGGAAGATAATTATAAATAGCTCTAAAACTTAAGAGCAGTGCTTGGAAAATCCTTGATATTTCCTGTTACATGAGAGGAGGGAGACTATCTTACCTGTAATGGGCCAACATTTTGGTACGTTAGAGTTTCTAACAGAGACACTGGTAATCTTCTTGTTTATAAGTATGTCTCAAGGATGAAACGTAAGTACAAGCATCTCAGCAGAAGAGAAATACTGGTTGTGAAAAGCCAGCAATGTGGTGTCCTATCTTTTTTGGTACAAATAGTTTCAGGGTTTTGGGGCAGCGATCAGCAAGTAATAAAAAGTTTGTATTAAGAAAATGCATTGTATTTCTGTTTTTAATTCCATCCCCTTCATCCTACTACCTTCTCTTGGATCTGTTTTCTAAATTTATGCTTTACTAAAGTCTAGATTATTCTATTTTTCCTCTTTAGTGCTTATTTCTGTAGTTATTTGGTATCTCTGCTGTTTACTTCTCATCCCTTCATTGGTCCCAGACTCAAGAGATCCAGAAACCTCATTCAAGTGATCTTGAGTTCAGTGGGAGATTCTGGAGAAAGAAGTATCTGCTATGTGGTCTGTTAAATTCAACCTGGAGTTTAGTTCACTGACTGTTTTTGTATGGTTGTAGTTGTCATTAATTAAAAGATGGTGAGTAACGATAACTGTGATCTGGGCTTAGAAAAGAATATTAGAAAAGAATATGGCAACAACTCAGAGAAAAACACACTAAAAAATGTGGGGAGGAGAAGGTGTATATGTAACTATGGCAGACTGAATGGAGGAATCATCGTGGAGCTGAAGAGAAGCAATTGGAGTCAAGTGCAGTCAAGCCTAGAGCATAAGCAAGGCAGTAGAATACCACATTCAAAAAGCCAGAAGAAATCTTGCTAGAACAGAATGATATAGAAAAAGCAGAAAGAAAAGAACAAGTGAATGTGCTATAAAAGATGACAGTACAAAAAAAAGCCTTAATGAAAAAATAGGCCGGTATTAACCATGCAGCAAATTAGAATGAATTAAAAAAATCTTGAGATGGAGGGAATGGTTTACCACAGGAAGAGATGATGAAATAAGAGGTGAAAGAGGAGGGGAACAAAAATTTAGTGAATTAATAAACACAACTGTATAGCCAGATATGAAGATCAGCAAGTCCTAGTGATCATGTTAAACACAAGCTCAAAAGATATTTCCAGTGGTTTTCTATTTCACTTGTTAAATCAAGTAGTTCAAATAAAAATTCCTAATTATTTTATTATGCTTATAATTAAAAAGTATAGTTCTTCCTGTGGGCTGGTGTTGTTTTTATTTTGGTTTTGGTTTTTTTGTTTGTTTTGTTTTTGTTTTAGCTTGGTTATTTATATTTCTCATCCTGTTTCGTATTTTACTTGTGGAAATGTATTTCACATTTCTCTATGTGGAATGTGTTACACTGCAAGTGAGTATTTCATGAGTCAATGCTACACAGAATATGGTCTCTGAGGTGACAGTTATGTAGAAGGACTAAAGCATTTCTTATGTTTTATTTATTGTTCTATTTAGTAATAAATTTGCTTTGAAATCCCACAAATGAAAACAAATTTCTGTCATTTTGGGTTGTAGATAAATTTTTTTCACATTTAGTTTCATGAAAGGGATAATAGAATGGGAGTTCATGCTGATCTTGATCTGCTTTGTAGAGCTTTTGCAGCTGCATAGATGATGACAAAAATCCTGCAGGGTTTCTACACCATGGAGATAGGGTGCTTTGAGTGTGATCCCATCGTTTGCAGAGAATCCTCATTGCCGATGAATTTAATTAAGCAGTGTCTAGATGTAGTTTGTGCAGTTGTTTTTTGCAAGTTCTTTTTCTAAATAATTTTTAAATCTTACCTTTGGTGAAGCTGATGGAACTCTGTTGTTCCCTACAAGTGCCTGTGGACCAGGCCTTGAAGTTAGGGGCATTCAGCACCCAAAGGGATTCTTAGCACCTTGTGTTATTCAGTCTCTATAACAACAAATAGATATTGCATGAAGTAACTTCTAATAGTATTTGTGTGTGCAACTCTGAAATGTCTTGAACATTTCTCCACATTGTATCTTGCTACAAAAATTATCATTCTTCGGCTATGAGCTTTTATGCCAAAGATCCTCAGGGGACAAATGGAGGCTTGCACCAGATACAGATGACTGTATTAGTTTCTGTAAAATCCAAGAAAATTAATTAATAGAGTTTATTTTATAGTGCAGTAACTCTTTAATTGTTTTAACTTTTTTTTTTTTTTTTTAAACTAAGGAAATGCTACTTCACCGCAAGTTCAAAGACCTTCTTTCATGGACTACTTTGATAAACAAGATTCCAAGAATAAAAGCCCTGAAAACTGTAATCAGAACATGCATGAACCTTACCACATATCCAAAAACGTTTTCCCTGATAACTGGAAAGTCCCTCAAGATGGAGACTTTGATTTCGTAAGTACATTTTTATTGTTTACTTTCTTGCATGCTGTTTATTTTATATGTGCCAAAAATAGTTAATCCCTTTGTGTAACTATGTTAATACAACAAAAATAAGTAAACTTTCAAGAATATCATCCAGTTATTTAATCTTAATGCCTTATCCTGGTTGTTGAAATAAGTACATTTGCTTAACGCAGGAGCTTTTTAATGAGGAGTGATATGTGACATTCTGAATATACTTCTTTGTAATGACTTTTTTTAAATATTTTTGCTTCTTTATGTGTTATAACAACTTTAAAATTCGACCCAGTTCTAGTTAAAAAAATAAAACTGCCACCAGCCATGGAATATTGTTGTCATGTTTGCCGAGTATCTCAGTGAAATGATAAGAGTTTTAAGCTGGATTGGAGTCATTTAATCAATTTCCTTGGAGGTGGTTAAGATCACCTACTGTTTTACACAAGTCAGCTTCTTGGTACTATTCCAATAGCGCACATCTCTCTACATAGAATTATTCTTTCTAACACCGGTCTGTCTGTTTGAGGGTAGGATTTTTCCCCCTCCAAAATATGTGTAGTTTATTTCTTTTTGCCTATGTTGCAAATTATAACAGGGGCAAAAATAATATGTTCTTAAGTTATAGGTTGCTCTTAAAGTGAAATAAATAATTACTGTTTAGAGACTTGTAGATAATTATACCTGCTTTTCACCTTTGTTATTTTTAACATATTTGCATGAAAGAATTTAGTTTATCTGTCGTAGATTAAATATGTTCTTAACTGCAGTGCAGTAGCTAAATGTGATCATATGACACCTTTTTGAAAGTACACTTGGGATTTGGAGAAAAATGTTGTGTTTAATTTTAGGTGACAGCTGTAGGTGTGGGATTTTTTTCCCAGTTTTCACTTACTGCATTTCTACGTAAAGCTGACTCTGAAGTTTAAGCTATTGGAGTAAAGCCAGTTAAATAGCACACCACAAGCTGTTGCTGCTGGAGAGTTTTGATTAAGTTGAATTTTGGTTTGGGTGGGGTTTTCTAAAGCTTTTCTTTTTTTTTTTAAAACCATAAAATGCAATAGTCATCATCCTGATAATTGACTAACAAAATAATTATTTGCACTATTCATTGGAAAATAACTGGCTGTTATTTAAGTGGTGTTATTATAGTGGCAATAAAATTCCCCTTAGAACAATTTAAAATTCATCCTATCTTTTCCATTACTTGTTAAGAAATGCAAGCCGAAATGATGATTCTTGTAAATGCTAAGGTCATGATTCTATAAGTGCTTATCCATGAATAATTCACACATGGATAATCCCGTGGAACTTGTTGACATTGCTTGTACATATGAGCTTGTACAAGTTGCCTTCTTGAAATAGGAATTTGTTCTAGAACCAAACCTGAGGAGGTCTCATCTTCAGAAACTAAGTGCTGTTTGTGTTGTATGTAAACCTTGCTGGGGGTCTTAGACTGGCAAGTCAAAGACTTGAGAATCATTCTATGAATCATAGAATGGTTTGGGTTGGAAAGGACCTTTACAGGTCATCTGGTCCGACCCCCCTGTTATGGGCAGGGACATCTTTGACTAGTTGCTCAAAGCCCTGTCCAGCCTGCCCTTGAACACTTCCAGGGATGGGGCATCCACAACTTGTCTGGGCAACCTGTTCCAGTGCCTCATGGAAGTTACGTGATGTGCAGTTTGTCCTTGGCTTCCTAAAAAGGTGGTGTTGTAAGGCTTGTTGCTACAAAATTATTCTGATTTAAGACCAAATAGGATTTTAAAAAAATCAATAGTTATTTGCATGGGCAATGTATGTAGTTAGTTGAGCCGGGGGGATTTTGTTTTAAGCATGACAAAAGCCAAATACTTCCATGGATAAGCCAGCCTAAGAAAGAGTTTAGGAAGACTCATCAATAATGGCTGTACTGCTTCAGAGTAGTCCACTCAAGCATACATTTCTCTGAAGCATCTGGTACATCTGTGACATCTGTGATGTCACACAGGATATTGGTTTTAACAGCCTGCTGGTTTGAACTATAGGCAATCATTATTTATTTATGTATTCTAGAAACACTTCTATTTCTATTTTAGACAGCGACTGGCAGTATTGGTAAGTGACCTGCAAGAGACTTTGTGAAAAGATAAATCAGTGGGCAGCATGCGTAATATATTGTCTGCTCTTTGTGAAATCAGCATGAATGTTTTCAGTTGCTGACATGAAGTCTTTAAATGATTCATGAAAGGGATAAATGATGGAAACTTTTTATACTAAATAATTCCATTCTGTTTTGTTTAGCATCAGCCTTAATAGGATCTAGAAAGGGATCCTAACAATAATTGCTGATAGTCATAATTTTATTTAAAGAAGGGATTGATATGCTAGAACTAAAATAGAAATGATCAAAATCTAACAATGCTAGTATACTCTAATAGTATTCCAACCTTCTATGTAGAAGAGGAGGGATGCTCTGTAAGTTGGAGGTCACAGAACTCATTTGCTGAATGGTATCATTGTTCTTACGTACCCGTATACCCTTGTGAGCCATACATAGCACGCCAGGGCTGGCAGCCAGCAAGCCCTTTACTTGTGAGCCAGGGCAGAATGACAGTGCCATGCTAAGGAGAGATATTCAAGTGTATCAAATGGAAAGACTTAGAAGTTTATTAGTGTATGTGTCTCTTACAGCATAAACTAGAGAAGCAGAAATGTCATTGAGGTGAAAGGGAGAAGGAACAAAAAACCCAATCCTTATAAATCCCTACAATTAATCAGTTTCTATTTCTTTGTATAAGGTGAGACCTGCAGAATTGGGAGCTAGTTCTTGTGGCCAAATGGAATACTTGCTTTAGGTCGCAGTGGTAGTTTATCCTATTCCTAGTATATTTTACTGTTTGATAAAACAATACATAGTTATTTCATTTGTTTAAATGTACAAATACATGTAATTCAGACAGGGCAGATAGTCTTACACACTTGCTGACATTTTTAGGTGATGTAAATAAACGATACAGGAAACTTTTCTCATAAGGTGGATAAATGAAGTATAAAATAATGCAAAAGGAACTTAGCGCTAGGTCTGGTTTGAAAGTTTTTGTGTGGGCATAGTTTTCTGCCCTGACGTAAATGTTTTAAAAACTCCTTGCCAATGAAAATAGAAGACTTTTCCAAGAAAATAAGATGCTTTGGTCATCAATGTGAGCTTTAAAAAAAGTAATTTTAGCAGCGTTTTTTCTTCCGTAAGTACATATTTATGCTTTGTTTTTCACTGTTGAAGTACATCTGTTTTGAAATTTAAAATCTGATTTTATTTCTTTTTCACTAATGCCATATGGGAATTTGAGATCCGTCTCTGACTGTTGGTCCTACAGGCCTTCAGTTCTGTGATCAATCTGTGCTGGTTAGTGGTGTCATGTTTCATGAATTGATGAGAAAAAATTGCCACTGCAGACCGTCAAGTTTTGCATTGTATTGAATCAGGTATATTGTAAGTAACTTTTAATTAGCATTAATTCTGATACTGTATAGTCACCTTGAATATTACATTATTCCAAATTTACCCTATTATGTATGCTTCAGGACTAAAATGCTGTTTTTCATCCATAAGATCTGTTTGGGGGATTTTACACTACATTTCTTCGTGCTTTAAAAAAAACCACAAACCGAACAACCAACCCCAAACATTTTTGAACATTGTCTTTTCTGTGACTAGGAATTTGTATAGGGTTGCTTTTTCTGATCTTTGTTTTCAGTTTTGTTGTTGTCTATTTTTGTTGTCTCATGATAAATTCTGAAAACCAAAAGTTATGGGTCTTTTATATCAGTGAATCTTAGGGAAATGTATTTCTGGGGAAGTACTTGCAAATGTTTTGGTGGTGTGTTTTTTTTTTTTTTTTTTCCTGCTTCAGCCTTTGAAATGGAAGTGTTGAAGTCCTGAGAGGATATAAATCTTACAAAAAACAAACTAGTGTTTATTCAAAGTTCAGTGCATTTTCTTTTTCAATGAATACTATCAGACTATAGGCAATTCTTTTACACGTTTTCATTTTTTTTAAGGGGCATACAGCAAATGGCAAAATTAAAGCAATATTTTTAACCCTAATTCTGTGAGGTTTACTTGGAATTAAGTGATGTTTTATTTGCAGTAAACCTTGATGCCAGTAAGTCTAATCAACAAGATACTACTCATTGTGAGGAAAAACGGCATAATGTATTTGAATAAGTAAAGATGCAGTAAAGCTATATAGTGTACGAGTATGATATTCATAGAAATGTTAATGATGCGTAACAGCTTTTCGTAATGAGCCTTAACTGTATAATGGGCTCACAAGTCAGCAGTTTGGATCAGAGTGTGGAGTTAGAGCAAATAACGTGTTTGTTTTGACCATCTAAGTGACCAGTCTGTTTAAGAACAGTTGTTTTTTGTAGATATTATGTACTTGTATGACCATGTTGCTGTTACAGTAGCTTAGTTCTTTCCATGGGGAATGTTTTCCATGAGATATGTACATGCTGGAGAGAGCTGTGTATTAAGTGAGCAGTATAACTGCAAGGTGTTGTTGAAGCAGCTTGCTCAAATTTGTTTTTGTCTTTCACAGTCGAAGATTTTGTGATATTTTGTGTGGCATGTATCACATTTTTATGGGCATTATAGAAGATAGTTTTCACCAAAAAAGGTGAACTTTTAATAAGCAAGAAGTGCTCAAAATTTTTATCATGTGGGGAAAAGCAGGTAAATTTAGCTTGCTAGATTGGTGTGCTATGTGTTCGTGTTGTTAAATAACCTGCTGCTTACATTTTTACTGTATCATGACATTTTACATCTCATTAAGATGTACAATTGCTCTGCAAATCCTTCTGCCCCTTAGTAACGTCTGTTAGTGTGGAACACGATGTTAACAAAGGATTTACATGAACTGCAGTGAAGTGATACCTAATTGATGATAACCTGTGAATTAACATTACTCAGAATGAGTTGCTAAACTTCATTTGCACTGATTGAATATATTATT